ATGCACATTGCGATTTCGATGCTGAAACGATGTATCGTGCAGCCCTAATTCAAACAGTCACAGAGTAGTTGTGAAACCACCCCTTTGTTATTTTAGCTGTGTGCTTAGGGTCATTGTCTTGTTGAAAGGTAAACCTTTGGCGCAGTCTGAGGTCCTGAGCACTCTGAAGAAGGTTTTCGTCCAGGATGTCCTTGTACTTGGCCGCATTCATCTTTCCCTCAATTGTAACCAGTCGTCCTGTCCCTGCAACTAAAAAACACCCCCACAGCACGATGCTGCCACAGTCATGCTTCACTGTTGGACGGGTGATGAGCAGTGCCTGGTTGACTCTATACATACTGCTTAGAAATAAGGCCAAAAAGTGTTATCTTGGTCTCAAGAGAGCAGAGAATCTTATTTCTCACCATCTTGGAGTCCTTCAGGTGTTTTTAGCAAACTCCATGCTGGCTTTTACTTGTCGGGCCACTCGGGCGTCTCCCATCTCCCAACTGCATCTCTGGACCTCAGCCATGGTGATCTTAACATTTAAGGGGGTCTGAATACTTCCCGTACCTACTGTATTCAAGTTATAAAATAAGTTAAGCCTATTTCCAAATAAAAAAAAAAGGAGGAGTGTCCATTTTAAGGCCAATTCAACTCCTGCTGTAAATCCCACTTTATTTCTGATCCCATCTCTGCTGAAAAATCCAGCTTAAACCAGCTTAGGCCGGTTGGCTGGTTTTAGCTGGCTGACCAGCTTGGTTTAGAGGGGTTTTGGCTACTTCCAGTCTGATTTCCAGTCATTTCCAGCCTGGTCTTAGATGATCAGGCTGGAAAGTGACCAACCAGCTAAAACCATCTAAAACCAGCTTGACCATCCTGGTTTAAGCTGGACATAGCTGGTTTTGGCTGGGCTCCCAGCCTGGCTAGGCTGGTCAAGCTGGTTTTAGCTGGTCATCTCCCAGCATGTCCAGCTAAAACCAGGCTGGAAATGACTGGAAACCAGCCTGGAAGTGGCCAAAACCCCTCTAAAACCAGGCTGGTCGACCAGCTAAAACCAGCCAACCGGCCTAAGCTGGTTTAAGCTGGATTTTTCAGCAGGGCACTAGAGCTTAATTCCATTTTTGAATCCATCCCTGCTGAAAAATCCAGCTTAAACCAGCCTAGG